GGGTTTATGGGGGTGGTTAGAAGGATTCGACAGGATGTTCATAGGGTCTGCAACGGTTGATGATATATAGATCTTGCATGACCCATTAAGGTAATGCAGGATTTATATCATCAACCGAAGGACATATAAGTCACCTTTCTTTTCAAGACGAATCAGCTTCCTTCGAGGTATCCGTTCAGGGTCCCTGCACTTTAGTGGTACTATGGTAGGGTTGTCCCCAAACCCTGGAGAAATTAGGGCACCCTCGCAAATATGCCGGGAGATGGAGGGGAATTCGGTTTTATGGTTTAGGGCAGTTTGGGGCCTGGGGCAGGGACATGGAGGGTAGACTTGACTTGGAAGTCAAGACTCAGACCATAAACCGCAGAACCCTAAACCCCCAGACCCTAAAGTCCCAAAGCAACAAAACCCTATGTGCTTTAACCCCTAAAGGCCCTAAAGCCTTAAACCGACGGAAACTTCGTGATCTTGAGCTTCTTGGTAATCCTAAATCCTAAGACCCTTTACCGCCTCAGTTTCTAAGGTATGCCGAGAAGCCTCCGGAAGGAGCAGCGCCACCCAAGGTCCTGGGGGTACCCTTTCGTTTCTCAGGAGGTTCCCCTACAGTAAGGACTCTTTTGGGGGTTCCGCTCAAGGCTTCCTTTTAACAGTTCCTTTAAAGACTCTTTAAGTGTTCTTGCAAGAGTTCCCTTGTCAGGTTGCTAGCATTTTGGGGTTAAGGATGTCGGGCTTGGGGAGTTTAAGGCTGAAAGAGTTTCAGCGTTTGGGTTGTAAGGCTTTCAGATTTCGGGGTCTCAGGTTTGACGGATTTTGCCGTAGCCTGGGCCTTGGGGTCTTGAGAACTAGAACCGGATTTTACTTGGGGGTGTTCTCTACCATCATTTACTATGGGATTTGCGCTACCCACCCTGGGCCCTCAGATACCGCTCCGTTACAGCTCCGTTACAGCTTCCGTTACAGCTCTGTTGCAGGTCCGTTACAGCTCCGATGCAGGTCCGTTACAGCTCCGCTACAGCTTCCGTTGCAGCTCCGCTGCAGCTCCGTTGCAGGTCCGTTACAGCTCCGTTGCAGGTCCGTTACAGCTCCGTTACAGCATTCTGCTACAGCTCCGTTACAGCTTCCGTTACAGCTCCTTTGCAGGTCCGTTACAGCTCCGTTGCAGGTCCGTTACAGCTCCGTTACAGCTTCTGCTACAGCTCCGTTATAAAGCTCCGTTACAACACAGCTCCGGTGCAGGTCCGTTACAGCTCCGTTGCAGGTCCGTTACAGCTCCGTTACAGCTTCTGCTACAGCTCCGTTATAAAGCTCCGTTACAGCTTCCGTTACAGCTCCGTTGCAGGTCCGTTACAGCTCCGTAGCAGGTCCGTTACAGCTCCGTTACAGCTTCTGCTACAGCTCCGTTTTAAAGCTCCGTTACAGCTTCCGTTACAGCTCCGTTACAGCTCCGTAGCAGGTCCGTTACAGCTCCGTTGCAGCTTCTGCAGCTCCGTTGCAGCTTCCGTCACAGCTCCGTTACAGCTCCTTTACAGGTCCGTTACAGCTCCGCGACAAATCCGTTACAGCTCCACTACGTGCCATTACAGTTTCTGTTGTAAGCCCTGTTGCCGGCACGGAGTCGCCAGGGTTTCTGTCATAGTAGAGGCCTACAAATGATGGTAGAGAACACCCGCAAGATTTTACAGTAGACCATCATACTAGATTACCAGAACCATATTGTGCTAGTGATTTTTCCGAACCATGTACGTAGTGCTCTAACTTAGAAATTAGAGTCCTTCATAAGACTGTCGTATCAGATTGGGCCTAACCCCAGTCAAGGCCTGTAGAACCCTGACAGGAACCCGTGCATGAATTTCCAAGGAACCCTGACAGGAATGGCTGAGGCACGTTGAAAGGGATGCAAACGGAACACAAGAAGATTGAAACCCTAAGGCTCCATGTACTCATATAGTATATACATTGGCCTTAATGTAGTCCCTATATAGGTACTTTGGGGCCATGTATCTCTATATGGGTACATGGACCCTTAGGGAAAGGAACCCTTGAAGCAATTTTGAAGAGCCCATTGGGTGCTGCCCCCACTCAATAACAGTTGGATAATATTCATAATATAGATATCTTGTAGCCCTCTTATTTTCATAATATAGGTATATTAGAACCTGATTAGTAGCGCTATTATAGACTGCTACTGTATGGGGGTACTGCACCAACGATCCCATGAAGGAATTTCACCGACGGTCCAGACTCCCAAACCCGAAAACCCGAAAGCCTGAAACTGCAACCCCTAAACCTTAGGGTTTAGGGTTTAGGGTTTAGGGTTTAGGGCTCAAACCCCACACCCTAAACCCCTAAACCCTAAAAACACCGTCTGCTGCAGCCTGCCGGGGATCTTGCGGAAGCGCTGCGGGGGGGCTCAAAGAGGCGAGGGCTTAAGGGTTTACCCATAGGCCCTATACGGTTGATGATATAAATCCTGCATGACCTTAAGGACCCTAAACTAGGAGAATTATGGTATATTCCTGATTAATTATGGGTCATGCAGGATTTATATCATCAACCGTAGTAGTTCCTTTTTTGGGTTCATTAAAATCCTATGAGGTAATCATCCCAAAAAGGACCTACTGTGGGGGCCTATGGGGCTTAGGGTTCATGTAGGGTTATAGGGTTGTATGTTTATAGGGTTTAGGCTTGGGGTTGAGGGTGTAGGGTTACAAGTTACAAGGGTTCTAGGAGTTATATGCGATAAGGGCCATAGGGTTGTAGGGCTTTAGAGCTTTGGGTTGGTGTTCCTCGGTTCTCCCTTTCACCTCTGATTGCCAAACAGACCTCACAACCCTAGTCCAACTATAAAGGCTCCATTTTCAGGGTTTACTATAGGGGCCTTCAGACTTAAGAATTACCTATACTATTCTGGGGGTTCCTTATAAATTATGATTATGGAAAATGGGCCCCAAAACCCTATTCTAGTTATTAGGGCCCCTACATTCGGGCTCGCTTCGTTTTTTTCTCTGATTAGCGCTTGTAGGGGATCTTGTCGTTCGAGGGTTCCTCTAAGGGGGGCGTTATGGATTCACGGCTGCTAATCTAGGAACCTGATTACGAAACTTTGCCCTTGGGCCGTTATTAGGGCTCCTTATATGCATCCTGCTGTTTGGGGGGTCATAGGCCTAGGGTTTCTTAATCAGGTTCCTACATCAGGATTCTTCTGTGTCTGTTTGGGGGGTCATAGGCCCAGGGTTTCTTAATCAGGTTCCTACATCAGGATTCTTCTGTGTTCCTCTCACGGAGGTGTTTATAGTGCCCAGGATTTAAGGCATGGTCTAGCGGGTCTTCAGGTTATATCGCATGTGCTTTGTCGTTTGTTTATGCTGCGCTTTAGGGTTTACGGCTTAGGCTCCGCCGTGTAAATGCAGGGGCCTTGCCTTAATCATCACCTATACTGTTTTCGGGGTCCCTTTTTCGAACTTTTGTATAATGGGCCCCAAAACCCTAACCTAATGGTTAAGGCACCCATACTATAGAACCCTACTATAGGTCCCTATGATAGAGCCCTTTAAGGACCCCTTTCAAGGAGCCCTATTCTATCCACCAAGGCCAATGTTACTTAAAGCATCATGGGACAAAGGAACTAGGGTTATTGTTAGGGTAATTGCACTTATAACTACTTATAACCCCAGTTAGAGTACTTGTAACCTTACTTACTAAGTCCCACGACCCTCCAAGTATTCTAAGCATCAAGGCCCATGCTAATTCAATGTTCAGGGACTTCTACTGTAGGGTTTAGGGTTTCGATGTTTAGGGTTTCTAGCATTTGAGGGTTTCTAGGGTTTTAGGGTTTCTAGGGTTTAGGGTTTAGGATTTTTATCAAACCCCAAAGTTGGAAACTGGATTGAGGACAAATAGTGCTGGGGTTCCCCATACATTACTCTTAAGGATTGAGGCTACTGGGTTTCCAACTTTTGGGCTTCTGCTGTAGACGTAGGGTAGGGCTCGGGATTTAGGCTTTCGGGCTGGGTGTTTAGGGCTCGGGATTTAGGGTTCAGGGTTTGGGGTTTAGGATCTAGGGTCTGGGGTTGGATTTCAGAGAGAGATTCAGTACCTTTCCTTGGGGCTTCGGATTTCTCTGGCTTGCGGTTTAGGGTTATTGTGTAAGTTGCTGAGGGCTCTGTTTCGGCGGTTCGGAGCCGGATTTCATAGACTCATATCACCTTCTAAGAACCGGCTAGGTCAGACGTGTGACGTTAGGGGTGCAGGCTTTCAGATTTGATATCTGTCTTAAAGGCCTTACTGCAAGCTGGCGTAACCTACCGTTTGCTCGTCCCTGAATTTCTAGAAGAGTTCCCAAGGCTTGTTTTTGTGGGCTGAATGTCCTTGTGCTTTCGGTGGGGTTTGGGGGGTCATCGATGTTAGTGAGAGACTGGGCTTTCAGGTTCATGGATTGGGGGTTTAGGGTTTATTAGGTCTTATGGACTATATAGGGTTCGGGGTTTAGGGCTTATTGGGTTTAAGGGGGCTGGAGTAAGTCTAGGGCTCAAGGGAATGTTGTCTGAGGCCTCCAGGCCACGGCAGCCCCAGACCCCCAGCCTCAACCCTAAACCCTAAACCTCAAACTCGACATCCTAAACCCTAAACCCTAAACCCTAAACCTCAAACTCTACATCCTAAACCCTAAACCCTAAACCCTAAACCTCAAACTCTACATCCTAAACCCTAGACCCTAAACCCTAAACCTCAAACTCTACATCCTAAACCCTAACCCAAGAACCGAAGTCCCCTGCAACCCGAAGCCCTAAAGGTTAGGCAGGGGCCCGTGACCTGAGAGGTGCGGCCGACGGCCCGCATATGTTGGATCAAAGCGAGCGAGCTGAACCGTTAGGTGTTGATTAAGGCGGGTTCCGGATTTGGGGCTATAGGTTCCAGGCAGTTCAGTAGCCATGGACGCAAGCACGTCGGAAGACCATTTGGTGAAATAGTCATCTGGTTTGTTCCAGAATCCTGTCGCCATGTCTCTCAACATCCAGGTGCATCTCTTGAGTGGCAGAACGGTCTCACTGGAAGCAGGACTGAATGCACAAACCCCTTGGACTTTCGCGCTGGTAAACCCCTCACAAGTCTAAATATCCTAGACCCTATCATCTATTGGAACCCTCTTTCCCATTTCTATGTCCCAGACCCTATCGTCTATTTCAGCCTCCTTAATATCGTAGGCCCTATCATCTATTTCAACCTTCTTTCCCTAGAGCCCTTAAACCCTGAGGACTGGATGACTCTGTGGAATCCTTAAGGCGGCGTGCACAGAAGTCTTTCGCAGCGGCCATCTTAGTTGTCGCTTTCATAATCGAGCTGAGCCACTTAAACCCTCCCGTCGGAAGCCCTTACAACCTAAAACGCGGCACCATCATGTATGTATGTCATATATGCATACATATAAATATATACATATATATATATATATATGTATATATATACACATATATATATACATATATATATATATATATATATATGTATATATTACATACGTGTGTAATTATGATGTGTTACTTCCTTATATATTTACACATACATATACATACATACACATCCACATTGTATATGCGTATATGGACAGATACATAGCATACATATACGTTGTATATATGCACATAAACAAATAAACAAACATATATATTTATACACCTATTTATATATACATGTACACGTGCACACAGATACCCTAGACCCTAAATCCTAAACGCTAATAATTCCATATACCCCGCAAAGAGCACGAAGGTTGGCAGGGGAAGGCTCGTGGTCTCCTCCGAAGTTGCCCTTTGTGAATCTGCGACACTCAGAGAGGCGCGTCGAAAGAACCCTAAACCTTTAAGCTCCTGAAGTGTAAGGTTTTGTAAGTTCGTAATCCCTATACCCTTCAGTTCCCAAAGTTGTAAGGTTTACTAACTTCGGAGGGTGAAGTCGGTCGAACTAGGGGAATGTAGGAGTCTACGCCCTTCAAACCCAATTAGACCCTAAGCTCTGTCAGGCCAACTTGAAGAATGGCGATTCACTCTTCTTTCAGGTCAGGCAGGTGCAGCTTTCTGCCACCATGCGGGCGTTTTCTGCCATTCGTGGCGATGGATCTGTTGTGACCTGGGGTGATGCCTATTCTGGTGGTGTTAGCAGTGCCGTACAGGATCAGCTACTCGGCTCTTGTTGAGGAATGTAATTTAAGATACCGAAATAGGGATCTATAGTAAGGAATTCGGTTTCCAGATTGTGGCAACTTAAACTAAATCCCTTAACAAGATCCCAGGCTAAAGAACGTGCAGCAGATCCAAGCTGCTCACGCGGCTTTTGCTGCCATTCTCTGCGATGGGTCTGTCATTACCTGGGGCGATCTTCGCCTTGGTGGCGACAGCAGTGTTGTACGCAGTCAGCTGCAGAATGTGCAGCAAATTTCCGCCGCTCAATCTGCTTTCGCAGCCATACGTGGTGACGGATCTGTGGTGACTTGGGGTGGTGCTTTGGGCGGTGACAGCAGTGCGGTGCAAGATCAGCTCAAGAATGTTCAGCAGATCCAGGCATCCAACGGTGCCTTTGCTGCCATTCTTGCCGACCGATCTGTCGTGACTTGGGGTATGGATGATTATGGTGGTGACAGCAGTGCTGTGCAACATCAGCTGAGGAATGTGCAGCAGATCCAAGCCTCTGAGCGTGCTTTTGCGGCCATTCTTAGCGATGGGTCTGTCGTGACCTGGGGTGATGCTCGCTATGGCGGTGACAGCAGTGTGGCTCAGGATCAACTGAAGAACGTGAAGCAGATCCAAACCGTGAGCTGCCGGGGTGCCTTTGCAGCCGTTCGTGAAGATGGATCTGTCACGACGTGGGGTGACCCTCGCTTTGTTGGTGCCAGTGATGCTGTGCAGGAGCAGCTGAAGAATGTGCAGCAGATCCAAGCCTCCAAGGGCGCTTTTGCTGCAATCCTTAGCGGGGCGACCGTCGTGAGCTGGGGTGACGCTAGCTTCGGTGGTGACAGCAGTAAGGTTCAGCATCAGCTGAAGAATGTGCAGCATATCCAGGCCACTCACGGGGCATTTGCTGCTGTTCTTGCCGACCGATCTGTTGTGAGCTGGGGTCTTGCTACCAATGGTGGTGACACCGGGCTTTGGAGTCCCATACATTTTATGCTGTTCTCTTTTAGGAACCGTAATAAAAGACAAGTTTTTACCTGAAAAGAACCACTATGAAATACAAGTTTATACCTTAAAGGAACCATTATGAAATAATTAACCGTTGATACTTTATTTCTCCCTGGTTACTTAAAAGCCCAGGACAGTGGTGCTGTGCAGAGCCAGCTCAAGGCTGTTCAGCATATCCAAGCCACGCGCCGAGCCTTTGCAGCCGTGCTTGAAGATGGATCCGTGGTGACCTGGGGTCATGCTAACGATGGTGGTGACAGTAGTGCTGTGCAAGAACAGCTGAAAAATGTGCAGCAGATCCATGCCACTGTGAGTGCTTTTGCCGCCGTTCTCAGCAATGGATCTGTTGTCACGTGGGGACATGCTGGCCTAGGTGGTGACAGCAGTGTGGTGCATGAGCAGCTGATGGGCATCGACATCTAGTAGGTCTGAGCAAACCAGGGACCAGGGCTTCAGTAACCGTAATTACACCCTGCAGCCAGCCCTGTCCAAAAGTTGCACTGTCCCTCTAAAACAACCTCATCCTTGATAGCAAACCCCAAGCCACTTAGCTACTTGGCCTTGGTTTTTTCACATGCTCGACATATTCATGCTGCTTTGATCGAAAAGAGCCATGTACATTGATGAAAGTTCTGTAAGTCAAGGCTTTCGGAGACAGCAGGGGTATGGTAACTGTCCGCTGTATAGACAGATTTTTATTCGTGCGCCTCCCAAGACACTGGCCCTTAGACCTCACCCTGAAAATTCGAAGACGTGTCATGCGCGAGGATGTCTGTGTGTTTTTTGGGTTTCGGGCTTTCGATGTCCGGGATGCCTAGGCATGGGGCTCGGAGATTAGGTTTGGGGTTTATAGGGTCCAGGGGCTACAGAAGTGTGAAGGTGTTTGCACAACCTCGAATCTACAAAGAAAATTTCCCGGCCCGCAGCAGTTTGTCCGAATCCGCAGATCTCAACATTCGAAGCACCAGAGCCAGCGGGTTCAGGGGTTCATTCATGTAAGCTAGATCGCGATGAAGGATCTGCATATGTACTGCTTAGCAAATCCTAGAACCTCACCCTCCACCTGCCCACCAGAAACGGTATCAACTCGCAGGCGACTACACAAGGCGATCTTCGGCATGCATCTGTCTTAAACCACACAGAGAACCCAGTGACCTTCTGACGTCTTTTGAAGGGGTGGCGGGGGTGCAATATTGAACAACTACCTAAACCAACAAGCTGACTAAGCCTCATAAGCCCCTTCTCCTAAATCGCACGCCTTCACCCAAAGGTTCTTGAGAGGGTAGATCCTGGACATTGATAGCCCTTCCTTCTAAAGCCCTGATTGCTCCGCCTCAGATTCCGAGAAAACCATGAAGCTCCAAACCGTTTAAAACCCCAAACCCTTTTTCTAAACCCAAAACACCACACCCTGAAACCATATCCGTATAAACCCTAAACTGCAGCTCCCATGGTTTAAGAAAGCCAAACCTCTTCAAACCGCCACAAGAAGAAGCATCAAGCTCTAGAACGCACTAAACCCTGAACCTCATTAGGCTCTGAACCCTTTTGGAGCCCGTGCAGAGCCCTAATAGTAGCCCTGAACCAGTCAAGAGGACTTGTGTAGAAAATGAAGAGCCCCGGGTTTCATGTTTCTTCCGGGAGGCCGGAGATTGATGCATTGCTGACAGAGGCTGGGGCTGGCTTCGGGTTTACGGTTTTGGGTATTGGGACTAGAGTTTGAGGTTTGAGGTTTAAAAACCCTAAACTCCAAACCCCCTAAACCCTAAACCCGAGGATTCGAGTTTGGGGTTCAGGGTCTACGGATAAACGAGGAGGCAAGGGGATCCTCCGCAGAACTAGAGGAGGGGGGGGGCTTCTTGGAATCTGGAATCAAGGGTGCCGTGACAAGCATTCCGAGTTCAAGTATGGTTAGATTTAGGAAGTTAGAAATGAAGTACTGGAGGTAGAGTTACCTTGTTAAACAACTTTTTTGTAAGGTTGTGCAAGAGTGGGCCCGTCGCACGGATCCTTAGTAGTTGCGTACACACAGAGAGAGCGAGCGAGAGAGAGAGAGAGAGAGAGAGAGAGAGAGCGGTTAGCGGAAACGCGCGAGGGGGGCGCGGACCTCGGATCGCGCTTCCCTCTGCCTGTGCTGAAGAAGAGAGAGCGGTTAGCAGGGTGTCCCCAAAAATACGGTGGTATAACTGTTACCGTTCAGATGGCTGTAATAATACCATGTTGCAAGCTGTTGTTTGAACATACTATGCGAGGGGACACCTGAACTGTGAAGGAAAATTTGCATGTGTCAGAAACAAGCCGAGGAACCCTGATGATTTACAGTCCAATATACCTAATATCAACAGTCAGGGGGACTCGCTCGTCTTATCTCGCCCTACCGAAAGCCCCATAACACTTGGGGGACCCATGAGGCCGGGGGCCCTGACACCCCTCCCAAGCCCTGCAGAAGAAGAGCGAGAGAGAGAGAGAGAGAGACATAGCAAATGGGGATATCGAGATCAAAGAAGCATTGTCCGCAACCCCCAACCCAGAACCCCAACGAACCTTGAACGCCAAGACGCGAGGAAGCAGACCCCATGCCCCTAACCTAAAACCGCTCAGCCAAGCGAAGACATGAAAATAGGGTACAGGCTTTAGGGTTGAAATTAGGGTTTGGATGGTTAGTCTGCCGAATGCAAGATTGGTTCACGGCATTTGGATCTGGTCGTTTCCATAAGGGCTACTGTCAGGGTTCTTATGAGGGATCCAAAAGGAAGCGACGAGGGTGATAGGTTTTGTGCCTGGGGGCTTCGGGGTTGAGGGCAGAGACATAAACCCGAACAAGAGAGTCTATGGGCGTCACTACACTCCAAGACAGTATGAACAAATGCATCCTCGCTGGAGTTGACATGCGTTGAATGTGCAGATTGGGTTCCGAGCAGCTCTGTTCGAAGACGAAACGAGCCCTAAACTCTAAACCCTAATAACTCTAAACCCTAAACCCTAAAAAGCCTTAAGCCCTAAACCCTAATGAGCCGATGATCAGCAGGAGGCATATGGTTCTTGGAGAGAACTGTGATGTTCGTGTTTCGTCTGAGTGATCGATGTGCTACGGCCTTGGCTACAGACCTGCTACAACCTCGACTACATGTGTCATGATCCTTCTCGGCTACCTACAACGTTTGTTCCGAATCGCTGCCCACATGTGGTAGTAGTTTCACAGCATGCCTCACATCAGAGGAGACTCAGTGGGAGGGTTGGGTCTAACATGTGTGCATAAAACCTAATATCCCTAAAAACTCTAAACCCTAAACCCTGAAAGCCTTAAGCCCTAAGCCCGAAATTCCTATGGACAGGATCGAATTGACACAATCGTGGCTTCCATCAGCGACCACTTCGCATTCCTCAGGCGAAGCGGCCATCACGTTCTTGTTGGGACGCTTTCCGGAGCTAGAGGGTAGGTAAGTTAGGGTTTAGGGTTTAGGGTTTAGGGTACTATACTCCCTATACTTACCTTTGGTTAGTAGGGAATGGAAGAATGGTAGTAATAGCAGTTATAATTGCACCCCATTCCTCCATGCCCTACTAACCAAAGGTAAATCTACAATCCGACTATACTCGTATACCCTAAACCCTAAGCCCTAAAACCCTATACTCCCTGTACAATCCCAGTATCCTCTCAAAGGTCGACCTTTAGTGCCCTAGGACGCTGGACAGGTAATGTAGGAACCTGATTGAGGACCCTGGGGCATCTATTACGGTTCCTTACATGAATCCTACTATTTTGGGATTATAGGCCCAGGGCTTCTTAATCAGGTTCCTACAGTAGGTTTAGGTTTCGGAAGGATTTCTGGATCTTCGTTTCTGGTCTTGGGAAAGTCCGGGTCTTCTTCTGGATAATGAACACGTCGCCCAGAATAGGTGAGTCTTTGAAGCTGAATCGAATGAGGACCTCTAACTCTACACTTGTCGGGAGAAGTTTCCACCCCTTTAGTAGTGAACGTTTGCATTTTGGGGGCTTACCCGAAAGGCTCCACAGTAGTTCCTTTTTGGGATTACCTTATAGGAACCCTAAAGCCCTAAAGGAACTACTATGGAGCCTATGTGTACGAACTCTGCAACTGAGAGTTGGGTTGCGAGGTCCAGAAGATAAAGGCCTTGGCAGTGTCAGAACTTCGCCGGGAGGATTGTTGTTTTGCACGGAGCCGTCGGAATCTTCGAAAAGATAGAGTCTATAGAGGACGAGTATTGAGGACCACGAAAGATCTTTAGTGCATTTGGGTAGCGACGGAGGAGGCCTTCGCAGATCAACCGTTTGTCGACGATTCTAAGAGGTCGACATCCAGGTGTTTCTGAAACGTCCAAGTTCCAGGCTTTGGGTGTTCTTCACCGATGCCCTACGCTGATCCTCCCTTGTTCTGACACTACAAGCGGAACCCCGCTCTTTTCGTTCGAGCCGTCTCAGTTCCTGCCAACATACCCAGATCGTCCTAGGTATCGCTACGCGGGATACTTTCCCAAATATAGACACCCCACATTCTACAAAAAAGGTACTCAGTATCCTTTGGGATGAAAGCTGAAGTAAGTACCGGTACTTGTCAACTCCCCATCCTAGGTATTATTATGGGGGGGTACCTTCCTAAATCATTGTAGGAATTCCTAATATAGACCCCCCATATTCTGTTCTACATAGGTACTTAGCATCCTTTAGGATGAAATCTAATCTGAAAGCAGAATTAAGTACCAGTGCTTCGCAACTTTGCATGCCCTAAACCCCAAACCTTAAGTACCATTACGTTTCAACTCCCCATGCCCTGTGATACCCAAAGCGACGCACAGCAGGTTCAACCAAGAGCCAGTCGAGCGCATCATCGAGCATTTTGGCAGCACCCTAGGGTTTAGGGTTAGGGTTTTGGCAGCAGCTCGGGGCCTATCTCCAGTAATGTAGGAACCTGACTAAGAAACCCTGGGCCTATAACCCCAAAATAGTAGGATTTTGTCTTGGACTTGGTACTAAGTTTTAGGTTTAAGAGGTTATAGGGGTTTAGGGTTTAGGGGTTTAGGGTTTAAAGCGGGTGTATAGCCTAAGGAAAAAGTTCGCTGTCCTTTTCTTTGTGGAGGGAAGCTCTTAGAGCTTCGATCTCCGCTACCCAACCTTAAAAACTTGTTTGGTGTCTTGTAGTTTAGTAGGTTGGATTTTGAGACATTTTTTATTTTCCGGAGCCGTGTTTGGGTTCATAAGGGACCCTATATATAGATATTTTTCAGGGTGTTTACAGGCCAACCGAGTTTAGTAGGAATCGGAAAGGGGTAGTAAGTAGAGAGAGTCGCGCAGGCTGAAGGGGCTTTGCAGAGCTTTTATGGTTTATAATTACCTCAGCCCCGAATAACCTACTTTTTGAAGGACTTATATAAGGAGAGCATAATAAGGAAGCCTAAAAAGG